CAGACTTGGCTGATACACATAGCTGGCCCTCCAGGCCTCAGTTTCCCCTTCACTGGCCTCCAGTGCTCCCTCTGTGAGGCAGGCACAGCTCACCTGCCAGCGGCTTCGGGCCAGGAGGAACTTGAGCTGCTTGGTGTTGATGAAGTGGGCCTCCTCTGCAGGCACTGAATTCTGAGGACAGGAGGGGAAGCCACATTGCAGGAGACCCTGGTGCCCTGGTGGGGCCCCTTCCAGGATGGAGGTCCAACTGGGCAGAGTGGCCAGGCCAGCCCCCAGCCCAGAGATCCCATGGGTCCCATCCCCTCAGCTCTTGCCGGGTCCAGGATACCACAGCCCTCACTCCACATGCTTGGTGGGGCAGGTCAAGGGTCATGGGTCAGAGGTGATGGCACCTCCCTGTCCCTGATCTACTGCTGGGGGGTCAGGGGGTAAGCGGGGCACTGAAACGCTGTTCCAATCTGAGGGTCCCAGGACCCCTGGCCAATCCACAGGGACAAACATCCTCTGAGCCCCTATTCTGTGCTAATGAGGCCTGTGGCCCAGGCAGGCCCCTGCCCCTCTTGGCCTCAGTTTCCCTCCCTGCAGAGCACGGGGTGGAGCCCAAGCTGGGCCTACTCACCAGGAACCAGGGGTGGGCAAGGCACTGAGAGGCACTGGGCCGGGCCCTAGGGGGAGAGGAAGGCCCGAGTCAGGCCAGGCAGTCAGCTGGCTCCAGGACAGGGCTGACTGGACCCTGGGCAGGGGAAGGACAGGTGTGCGCTTACTCTGGGGCCCTCTGCAGTGTGGCCTTGATGAAGTCCTTGGCATCCTCGCTGAGGTGAGCAGCCATGGGGTGGCTCCAAGACACCCGCCCCTCCAGAACATTCAGGAGGGTGGCACGGTCACTCTCGCCCGCAAACGGGGATGAGCAGGTCAGGCTGAAAGCAGGGAAGGTCCGGCCCTCACACAAGACCCTGGCTGGGAGTGGGCTCTGAGAACCATTCCCATCTCGCCCTGAGAGTCCCAGCAAGTATCTCAGACTTGCCCACAGAGACCCAGGCTCAGCTTACAGCAAGGATTCAGGCTAAGCCTGGAGTGGGTATCTGGGCTCAGGCTGGGGTGAGGATTCAGCCTCAGGCTCAGATAGGGACCACAGGTCAGTACTGGGCAGGCATCCAGCCTTAGCCTGAGGTGGGGATGCAGGCTCAGGCTGGGACAGGGACCCAGGATTATCTGGGCTTAGGCTGGGATAGGGATCAAGGGTCAGCCTGGGGTGGGCACCCAGCCTTAGCCCGAGATGGGGATCCAGGATCAGTCTATACCACCAGAATCCTGAGGGCAGCAGTGCATGTTATGAGCAGCCTCTGGACAAACCCCCCAGACCCTGCAGGGAAACAGCTCAGCTCTCTGCCTCATGACTGGCACAGCTCCTCTGACGATGGGGTGTTTGTGAGAGGTGTTGGCAAGAACTGCTTATCAGGGTTGGCTGACTGCCTGTTCCCAAGATAGCTGTCCCCTGGGTCTTGGGTCTGTGTCTGGGGAGCAGCTAGCAGTGTGCGTGGCCTCCATGGGCCTGTAGAGGAGGGGTCTCAAGTCGGCTTTGGAGGAGGCAGCTGGCCGGGCCCACCTCTGCTCACCTGAGGTAGGAGATCACCCCCATGGCCCTGCAGAAACAAAACCACACTGTGAGATGCCCGGGCCTGGCCTGCAGGTGAGGGGTGTATGTGCATGGGGGAACAGGGGAGCCCAGTGCTGGAGGAAGGGACAGAGGTTCAAACAGGACCCCTGGTCACTGCTGCTCATGACCCCCAGAGGCACAGGAGAGGGTGGGCTGAGCCACCAAGGGACTCAGTGTCCTAAGGGCATTGTAGCCCTGCTGGCCTGGCCCACCCACTCACCAGATGTCCGAGGCCTGGCTCACAGGGGTCTGCTGGACGATCTCAGGGGAGACAAACTCAGGGGAGCCATACATGCTATACTGCGGCTCTGCTGGGGTGATTTTTTGAGCGAAACCAAAGTCACAGATTTTAATGTCTTCCCGGGCAGGATGCACCATCAGGATGTTGGGGGGCTGTTAGGTAGAGTTGGGGTGTCAATAAGGGCCATGCCCTAAGGCAGGTGACTCCCAGGGCTGCCAGGTCTGGGGGGAGGGGGACACTCGGGGGTCCATGAGGCTGGTGTGGGGCAATGGGGAGCCCAGGGGCAGGTTTTAGCACCAGAGGGGACGGCCTCCCCTCCATCAGGGCCGCACCCCGCCTGAAGGGGCTGCCAGGAGGTAGTGGGCTCCCTGTCCCTGGAGGCAAGCGTGCTCAGATGGGCTGGGCTGGGGCCCTCCCACCCTGCAGGCCCCTGATTCCCACCCACCCCCACTGCAGGTTCTGAGAGTGCAGCGGGGGCAAGCACCTTTATGTCCAGGTGGAGGATGCCATGGCTGTGCAGGTAATGCAGCCCCTCCACAAGCTGCTGGATGTAAACTTTGACCTGTGGCAAAGGCCAGAGCACAGGTGAGAGCCCCGCTTCAGCCTCCCCTTTCCACTTCACACCCAGCCTGCTCCCATAGGCAGCAACCGCCTCCTCCCGACTTTGGCACCTGGGACAGGCTCCACAGGGCAGGTGACATGCAAAGCCCTCCTGGACTCTGTGTGCCCAAAGGCCAGGGTGTTCCCCGAAGGTAAGGAGGGTTTGGGTGGACTCTTGGCTCTTGGTGTGAAGAAATAGCCTGGGCACAGCAGGGTGGAGCAGGCAGGGCTGGCCAGGCGTGGTCTGGGCAGGGGACGGGTGAGACTGGGGCACGGGACAGCTTTGAGATGAATGGCTGTGATGTCCCTGCAGATGCTAGGGAGCCACAGGAGGTCTCTGAGCTGGGGAGGGCTGTGTCTGGGGCTGTGTCTGTGGGGAAGAGCAAGAAGCAGATGCGGTCACCTCAGCCTCGGTCACCACACTTTTCTTGAACAGGCGGTCCAGCAGCTCCTCTGATGAGCACCTGGGCTCCCATCAAGGAAAAGCAGTTCTGGGGGTCTGAACTGTAGGTGCATCTGATCCAGAGGTGTGGGCTGATGCTCAGGGTTGGGGAGGGTGAGACAGGGACCCCTGTGCACCCCAGATGGCACCAAGCCTGGAGGAGAAGGGCTGTAGGCAGACACAGGGGTTGAGGCCTCTGGGCGGCAGCAGTGGGAGTGGGGGCATCCTGTCCCCTCCTCGAGAAAAGGATACCAATGTAGGGGCGGGTGGGGCTGGGGCCAGCTGAGAGGTTTTCGAGCACATGAGACCCCCCTAGAGACCCTCAGAAAGGGCCCAGTGAGTGGTGAGGTCAGACCCAGAGTGGACTGGGCAGGTAGCTCCTCTGCTGTCTCCAAGAGGCCGTCTGCAGAGCAGGAGCCCCTGTACATCCCCGTCGAGGACATCTTGGAGCCTCGGGACCAGCCAGGCCTTCAACACTGCCGGGTGACCCCAGTCAGTGCCCCATGGAGTAAAAGCACCCTGCCCAAACCACTGACCTACACCATCGTGAGCTGCAAGAACAGGCGCCGTTTGTTATGTGACATTGCTAACAAGAATGCAGGGAAGCTGAGCAGACAGCTGTCACCACGACCAGCCAGGCCGGGGATCCCATGCATGTGGCTCCTCCCAGCCCCTCCTTGAACCCTCCTTGGGCGCTGAGGGCAGGATACAACTCCAAGACGAGGATAAGAGTCTTCCGGGTCTCAAAGTGGTCCAGCAGCCCGGTGACCAGAGGGTGGCTCAGTGTGGTCAGGACGTCTCGCTCCCGGTATGCCTCAGTCCGAGTTTTGCTCCGCAGGGGAATGAACTTGGCAGCACATGAGATCTTATTTCCTTTGTGCTGTACTCTTTTCACGAAGCCAAACACACCCCTAGGAAGGAGAGAAGGAAGGAGGGGAGCCCCCCATGGACATGCCATCCCAGGGGGTCCTGGGGCATTCTGGGGAGGTCCCGGGAAAAGGAGGCTGGAGCAATACCTTCCAATCTCCTCCTTGACCTCGTAGAAGGAGTGTAGCTTCCTCCGGTAGCTTTGCTTTTCCAAGTCTGGCTCACTGTCCCCTACAGTCAAAGAGCAGGAAGCAGTCAGTATTGGCAAAGGTGACGTCTCCAGTCCCTATTGTCCCCCAACACTATAGTGTTGGCAGGGACTGCTCACTGGGCCCAAGCCTGAGACCCCACCTGCTTGGGTGCCACCCACAGGGACAGAGAACACCACATGGAGCTGAGACCTGTACCCGGCCAGCCCAACTGCAGAGCCCAGGGCTCAGGAGGGGTTGCCAACTCACCCCCTTGGACCAGCAGCTCCGCCTTGCAGAGCACCTGGCCGCCAGCATTGTGGGCCAGGCAGGTGTACACACCAGCGTCGTGCTGGGCCACGTCCTTCAGCACCAGGGAGTATGTGGTCCCGTCCTGCTGCTGGCTGAGCTGGGCACTGTCCACGAGCTGGACATTGTCCTGGAGGCACCAAACAGGTGGGGCCACCATCAGCCCACCCTGGGGGACCCTGACACCCATGGGCCAGCTCACCCTTCACTGAGCCATGCTTCTAACACAGGCTGTATGTCCAGCTCTGTGTCCAGCCTGGAGGGGATGTGGGGGATTGCACGAGGGAGACTGCAGGATGGGGATTCTGTGAGGAGGACTGCACGGTGGGGACTGCGTGACGGGGATTCCGTGAGGAGCACTGCACGGTGGGGACTGCCTGAGGAGGACTGCGTGACGGGGATTCCGTGAGGAGGACTGCACGGTGGGGACTGCCTGAGGAGGACTGTGTGACGGGGATTCCGTGAGGAGGACTGCACGGTGGGGACTGCCTGAGGAGGACTGCGTGACGGGGATTCCGTGAGGAGCACTGCACGGTGGGGACTGCCTGAGGAGGACTGCGGGACGGGGATTCCGTGAGGAGGACTGCACGGTGGGGACTGCCTGAGGAGGACTGCGTGACGGGGATTCCGTGAGGAGGACTGTCCCTGGAGGCAAGCGTGCTCAGATGGACTGCCTCAGGAGGACTGCAGGGTGGGGACTGCACAAGAGAAAGTGCACGGTGGGGACTTCCCAGCAGAGATTTCACAGCCCCCTCCCCCCCCCCCCCGCAGGTCCCTCTACTGGCTCCAGCAGGACATCGCCCCCACCCCTCCCCGCCCCACCTGGACCTGCTCCTACCTTGTACCAGGTCACCGTGGGCTGCGGGTTGCCCTCAATGACAGCCTCAAACTGTGCTGTGCCACCTGTCTGTACCTGCACATCCTCAATGGTGACCTGCATAGATGGGGGTCCTGGGGGAAGTGGGGAGAAAACCTGTGGGGAGAGGGTCCCCAAGCTGCACGGCCCTCCCCATGTGGGAGGCCCCGGGATACTCTCCAGAGCAACAGGGTCCACCTCCCTCCCAAGCGATGGTGTCCCACCCCTGACCACCCAGGCCTCTGACAGTCAGGAAGTGCTTCCTTCCATCTAAACACTGCCTCTCTACTGTGACCTCAGTCGGTCAAGTGGTCAGGACGACAGTCAGGCTAGGCAGGCAGAACTTGCCAACCTGAGTTGTCACTCTCAGGGACAGAGTGCCATGAACACTTAGTTTGCCTGAAAAAGGGCTGGGGGGCCCAGGCTGAGTCAGGGCTAGGACACACTGGGCAGCCTCAGCAGGCCCCTCCATGCAAATGTCCCCCATCTCTGGGCATGGTGACATCAGGTGCACATGCCTAACCCAGCTGGGTCCAGTCTCCATACTTGCGGTGCCCACGTTGATGGCCTGGTACACGTAGGTCCTTTGTGTGGTCTCCGTAACCACTTGGCTGTGTATGTCCCAGAGCAGCTCCCCTGCACCTGCCCTTGGCCAGGACGCGCTCTCCATCCTGGGGTCATGAAGCCAGGTGAGCCTCTGACCAGTGGAGGCCACTGGAGTCCTGGCCCCTGCACTCCCTGGGCAGCCAAGCCTCATGATGAGATGGGGAGCCCCCAGCCTCGCCCTCACTTGGGGGGACTGCAGCAAAGACTCTTTGGGACAGGATGTACAAACAAGGTGCCCCAGTCCTTTGTGAGGTGGGAGTGCCCCACACCTAGAGGGTGATCTGTCCTCTCCTGCCCTGCCCTGCCTTCAGGGTTGGGGTGGGGTCTGGCAAAGAGTGTGTTCGGGGGGGCGAGACCACCCCCAACTCATGTCCATATGGCCTGCCCAACCCCAGGATGTCCCCATCGCATGACCTGGCCAGCCAAGGGATGTGGTTACCGAATGGGCACAGTCCGTTCCTGGACCCCGGCACCAGCCGCTGTCTCCTGCTCCAGGCCTTCATGGGGAATGGGCTGCGGAACCTTTGGGGGCTCAGCTGGCAGAAGACAAGGGACCCAGTGAGATGGAGCCAGGATCGGGGCTGCACGCGAGGATGGGTCCCCCGCATCTCCAGGCTGGGACAGGTGGGAGCACTGGCAGAGCAGTGGGCTCCAGCCCACAGCTTGTGTCTGTGCACATCAGCTGCCCTGCAGAGCCCAGATGCCAGGGCACCCTCCTGGGGCCATCAGCACCCCCAGCTGGGCTGACATCAGTATGCAGCAGCCTCTGCCCTCCAGGACATGCCCTGCATGGCCTCGGGAAGCCTCCAGACCATGCTGAGCAGGTGGCTCTATCTCAGCACCATGAGTGCTGTGGGAATTCCACAGTTCTCTTAGGGCATGAGCAATGTGCGGGCAGGACCCAGAAGGCCAAGGCACCCTCCATTGTGGCTTCTCAGAGGCCAGAATGTGGGGCCCGTCCATGGACAGGTAAGCCCCTTGATGCCCCTCCAACCAGTGTCTGAGGACAGGACAGACGCTGCAGCAGTATGGTTAGAAAAGGACTTTGGGCAATGCAAGCTGTGGCACAGGCAGGGCACAGGTGGGGCAGGCAGATGCTGGAGTCAAAAGTGGGGTGAGCAAATGGGAAATGGTGCCTGGGGTGGGGTGGGAGACTAGGCTGGTGCCAGCAGATGTGTGCTCCCTCTGTAGTGGCATCAGGCAGGACAAATAAGCCCAGGTTTGTGATCGTGGCTGTGATCCACCAGGGACTGGCCAAGTGACATGTGGGGCAGGCTTGTCTGCTTAGCTGGCGTGTCCCCATAGGGTGCACCCTGTGGATGGGACCCTATCCACAGGGGCGAGAGTGAAAGCAAAGGGCCAGGGCTGGTCCTTGCCCGCCTCTGCTCATCTGTTGTTCTCTCCTGTGGACACAGGCTTTGGTCACTGTGGGTGGTAATTACAGAGGAGACAAGAACAGAAAGCTGCCATTCCCTAGGGCCTGAGTGGGGCACCGTGTCCCTTCCCCTGGGCCAGGCCCTGTGCTCAGCCATCCCTGTGACAGGGACATTGGGGCAAATGTGTGCAAATGCAGGGCCTAGAGGGACACTCCTTGGCCCCGTGTGGTCCCAGGGCACCTGAACTGGGTGGAGGGAGGAGCCTGTTTGTCCAGGCCTGCTGGGCATCTGTGCACGTGGGGTAAGGGGAGCAGAGCTGAGGAGCCAGCCCTCTCGTCCTGCAGGAGTAGGGGGCCCACCCACCCCTGACCCCCTTGCACCCTGACCCCAGGGGGAGGCCAAGGCAGCGGCGTGGGGAGCATGGAGTCTGCAGCATGCCCACCTGCCTGTCGCCTAGACTGCCTGAAATGCTGGCCCAAGCCAAGGATGGGCACCAGGGCTGACCCCTTGGGTCAGAGAGCCAAGGTTAGGGTCAGCATGGTGGGGTTTCTGGGGTCAAGAAGAGCTTTGCGGTCAGCCCCACACTGGGCCTCACCAGGTGCGTCCAAGACTCTGGCGCCTGGGCGCTGGTGGCCAGCCTCCTGGAGTGTGGGTGCCCCTCCAGGGCTGAGGCTGGCGAGATCCTGTGCAAAGAAGCCTGGGGCCTCAGGGCTCAGCAGTCTCCCCAGGACAGATGTGACCTCCTGGTCCACTCGATCCAGGGCGGGGTGGACAGTGTCCTCCACGGTGGCCAGGGATGGAGTGGCATCTGTGGAAGAGGCAAGTTAGCCCACAGCAGGTGAGGCCCAGGGGTCTGTCATGGTCTGTACCCAGGCAGGGGGCTCAGGGGCCTGTCCCAGTCCTCAGAGGCTGCCCAGGTGAGAAGACCCTGGGCTGTCCCCTGCCACCTGCTCCTCAGCTCAGGAGACTGCCTGGAGGTGGAGTTCTATGATATTGAAGGGAGGCCTGGAGACCAATGCTGGGAGTGGCTGCTTCCTCTGCCCAGAATCTCAGGGAGCTTAGGGCCTGTCTACCCCCAGGTGACTTCAGGAGAGCACTGCCTCCTCCAGAGAACTTCCAGGACTGGATACCCACCTCCTGTCCTCAGTCTGCCAATGCCAACCCCACCCTTCATCCCAGGGCTAGCCACTTCTTGAAACTGACACAGAACCCCAAGGCGCAGGCTTACTCAGCCCAAAACCTGGGGACAGCCTGGTGTTAAGTCAAGGGCTGGGGGAAACTCGGGGATGGGTGTCCAGGTGGCCACAGCTGGGGCCCCTTCCTGAAGACAAGCCCCAGCTCCCAGGGCAGCTATGTGCCCTGTGCCCCACCTGATCAGCAGCCTTCTCCCCTCTGCTAATGGTCCAAATCCCCCTCCCCACCACCTGCAGCCTAGTTCAGGCCATGGCACCCCTAACCTGGCCCATGCCCCTTCTCCGCAGAAGAACCCCAAAGGACCTTTGCCCTCACCCGTTGCAGTCTCCTCAACCCACCTGCCAGCCCCCAGTGTGACCCCACACCTTTGCCACAGGAGTGCCAACCACCCCTGTCCCCAGAAGGTACCTCTGCCCAGAGCCCTCTCCTGCCCCGCTGGTGTCAAGCCCCCCTGAAGAGGTACTTCTGCTGCACCCCCACACCCCCAGGCTGGAGAGGCAACCCCTGGCTTCCCTCTACAGGGTGAGGGAACCCATCCTCCCCTTTCCCAGTCTGATGAGGTCCATGCCCCTCTACCCAAACCCCTGCGAGCTGGCCTTGGGGCTGGAGGTCAGAGAGGAGGCTGGTGCTGTCCCCATGACAGGTCCTGAAATCATCCTATATCATCCCTGCCAGGGACAATGGGGTGGACCCCTAGACCCCAAGAGCCCAGGCCCCACAAGGGTCGCCATGTTGCCCCCCCAACCCACATCGGTCCTGATGATAGCCCCAGCTGTCCAGGGCTCAGGAAGACCTGCACAACCTCCAGCAGGCTGGGATTAACCATCACTGGTGTGCTGGTCACACCAAGTACCCCTGTGTATGAATAAGCTGGACCACCACGCTGCACATGCCCACCCAGGGACCCCAAGAAAGACACATCAAGGGGGATGCAACCCAGGGGACTTGAACAACCTGGAATGAGATCTCAGAATCAAGGTGGGTAGCTTGCAGGGGTCCCTGGACTGCCAGCCAAAAGCAAGAAACAGACAGGAGGTGCAGGGAGCTGGTTTATTGTGATTACTGAGGTCAACCGACAGGGGCTTCTTCCCACAAACAGACCCTATGTCCACCCAGCAGAGAAGGCCCAGGAGGGTCTGCAGAGCTGCGGGGGGGACCACTCAGGCCTTGGATGTGGCCTTGGGGAAGCCCCCCACTGAGGGTCTCAGGCCCCCAGCCTGCAGGAAAGGCAGGGCTGTGTGAGGCCTGGCAGCTGGGATGTGGATGGGGCTGGGGCCAGAGCCTGGCAGGACAGACAGGTCCCATATGGAAGTCCCCCTCTTCTGTCCAGAGCCTGGAGGCTCTTGCCAGCTCAGGAGAAAGCTGCCCAGAGCTGGGATCTTCGAGCCACTCCCAGCCAGGGCTCACTTGCAGCGGCGTCAGCATGTTCTGGTGCTGCAGAGGCTGCACAGTCCTCCTGGCTGAAGACAAAGTCCAGTGAGGTAGGAATGGCGCAGGGCAGGCTGGAGCCCCAAGTGGCAGAAGAGCAAGGGGCAGGGGTCCAAGCACATGTGCCCAAGGTAAGTTGAGGTGTCCCAGGGCCTGAGGCCGGTGCCAAGCAGGATCCATGGCCACAAGGCCATTCCTTCTCCCTGCTGTCCCTGTGCCATGATAGTGGCAGCATCAGGGGTGTCCTGGCCTTGCCAGTCCCATGGAGGTGTGCAGCCTCAGCCCTGAGAGGGGCCAGGAGCCTCATCCCCGTCTGGGCGGATGTGCAGGGTGACCGTCTCTCCCACCGTCCCAAAGCTGACTGTCTGGGTGGAGACCTCTGTTTTAAAGCTGCTCTGGCCACTGCCTGCAGATCGCTGGACATGGGTGCAGAAGGACTGTGTCCAGGGAGTCGTGCCCGCCGGCCCAACCTGGGCCTCCCGCATGAGGAAGGAGACACCCTCAGGGCCACGGACCTGGGGCCCCGCTGGAGGCGTCCCCCCAGGCCCAGGCCTGAAGAAGCTAAGTGGGCCTCGGGGACCTGGCGGGCGCCCCACGTTGAGCAGGACAGGCTGCCCCACAGTGGGCTCACTAATCTCTCTCTGGAGCACTGAGACCTCACAGGGTGGGTCGTCGGAGGTGCTGGGCACAGGGCTGCTGCAGCCAAAGGTCTCCCCTTTCTGGGGCACGTAATCTTCCAGGTCAGCCAGGGTCAGCATGTGGCCATTATGTGTGAGGATCTTGGGGTCACGGCCCTGAAGGTCGTCACCATCCTGGGGCTCCTCTGTCATGAAATCACCTCCTTCCCCACCCTCTCCTTCTCCTCCCTCCTCCACAGCAGCACTCTCCTCCTTGAGGGAGGCCCCAGCATCCTCCAACTCATGGGCGTCCATGCCAGAAGTGGCCCAGTCCACACCAACCCCAGCGTCCATGCGGAAAATGTGGGGCTCGCCGCTGCAGACCACACCCGTGCCCTGGGCCTGCGCCTCCTGTGCCAGCAGCGTGTTGTTCGAGTTGTTGGCGTTGGGGTCCTCAGTGGAGGTTCCACCAGGCAGCGTGAAGAGCAGCCCTGCTGGGCTGCCAGGCACTTCTCTGGCAGGAGACACACCCCTTGGGCTGGTCTTCTTCACCCGGACTTCAATGGTCTCCTCAACCTCCACCCACTTGGGCTGGGGCTCCACACCCCCAGGCAGGGTTGGAGAGTGGGCTTCAGCCTCTGTCACGTATAGCGTGGGCACAGTGGGCTTCCGGCCTGGCTGCACCTCGGGCCTGCGGGGCTGGCTGGTCCCTGACAGGAACAGCTCAGGGGCCAACAGGCGGGGCCTTGACGGGCTGGCAGAACGGCGGGAAGGTGAGCGGGATGGGGACTTGCTGGGGGATTGTCGTCGGCCACGGGAACTCTTCACCACAGTGGTTATGGTCTCCTCTCTGAGGGTGGGAGAGGCCCAAGAAGAGGTGGGCACAGAGACCTGCAGTCTCGACAAGTGCCCGCACCATCAGCACAAGACAGGGATGAGGTTAGTGCAGAAGTGAGCGTGCTGTGAGATTGCACAAAGAAACTCCTACACATGTGCTTGAGCCCTATCTGTAAAACCCCCAGACAAAGAACAAGAGACAAAGCACAAAGTCTCATATGGTGAACCCTAGGCTCCAATATGTGGATCTCAAAACAAGAGGAGAGGCACTTGGGGAGGCCCACACCCTGTCACACAGCAGGTGCCTCCATAAACCAGCTCAAGTTCCGATTGCAATGTCCCCTGTGCTGGTCTCCCCTCCTTGCCCATCCCATCAGCAGGCTTTGTGCTTTGTATCATGGGGTGAGTGCCTGAGCAAGCTCTGAGATCAGTGCTGCATGCCTCAAAAATCCTCAGTTAGGGACAGGCTGGACAGCAGATGCCACAGGCACATGTGGAGGGGTGAGCTCAGGCCAGGAGGGGTGAGGTAAAGAAGGGTTGTCAGTGCCCTGACCAGCAACCTGTGCTCCCAGCCTCTGGGTCTGGGGGTGTGAGGCCCAGTGGGGCCTGAGGCAGCTCTGGGAAGGCTAACAGGGGAAGCCTGAGCCAGACACCTGGCTCTGAGCTTGGCTCGGCCGTCACGGGCCATGTGTCTTCAGATAAGCCCCCTCCCCTGCCTGGTCCCCATCTCCTAAAATGGGAGTGGGGAGGAAGAAAGAAGGCAGAAGTCACGGCTGGTTGCCCATGGGTGTGCAATGGTATTGGCCAGGGACTTTGCACACTCTCTTGTCTGACTCTGCAATGAGCCTGGGGGTGAGTCTGGCCCCCTTTATAAGTGTGGACAGAGAGGGTGAAAAAAGCTTCAAATTTGCCTGGGACAAGAGACAGAAGCATACCAGTTAGCCCAGGTCTTCCTCCTTGGGCACCCAGTGTCCCCAACCTTGCAGGGTGCTGAGAGTAAAATGAACAACAGGCAGGGGGCAAGAATATGTTAAGTAAAATACAACCTCCACTGTTGTAGGCCCTGCCACCTGCATCTCCCACAGGCTCAGGCAGAGGGGCCTGCTGTGCATATGGTGACAGCTGGGGGCCATTGTCAGCTGCCTGCTGTGACTAAGACCTTGTCTCTTATTCAGCTGTCTTCTAACTCAGAAGCAGCTGCTCCCAGGGATGGGCCCAGAGTCATCTCTCAGGGTATGCAGAAATTACAGGTCCTTCCTCCTCCAGCCCTCGCCTCCTAAGGAGGGAATGTTATACTCCACTTCACTGATGGGAAAGCTGAGGCTCAGAGACATGGCCTGCTCAGAGCCATAGGCCTGCCTTCCTGCCTCACATCCAGGCTCAGGGACACTAGACTTGTCACTGAATCAGAGCCTGACCAAACATCAGGGAACATGGGACAGGCCACATCTTCTGACCTCATGCTACCCAATCTTCTGATGTTGAATGAGTGGAGTGGAGATGGGCAGCTGGACGACTTCTCCTAAATGTTCCCCTACTGCAGAGCTCACTGCTGCCCCACAAGGGCACATGGCATCCTGCACTGAGGCCAAAAGCACAGCATGTGGGATCACCAGGTGGTGGTGTCTCTCTCCAAGCCCTGTGTCCTTCTGTGGTCCCCTCGCCCTGGATCTCCAGTTCTTATCCCTGTGTGGTTCACTTTTAGGGACAATTCTGTTCCTATTCCTCAGTCTGAGGGTGTACATTCCTCTTTGCAGGGTAAGGGTTGCCTCCTCCTTAAGCCTGGTACAGACTGGACTTCAGGATGCCTCATGAATCACCCAGTCCACCCTCCCCTAGGACTGAGTTACCTGTGAAGCTTTCCCAATGAGGCTTCCTGGCCCCATCTCTGCTTCTCACTTTTCTCATCCATAAAATGTGGATAGCAGTAATGCTCCCCTCTGGATAAAATGTAGAATTAATCTGTGTAAAGCTCTGACATGGTTGCATACCTGCAGAGGGGATGCTCACCACCTCAGGCAGCCCTGTCTATTGTGGGGTGGCTTTGGGGGAGGAGGAAGAAAGTCAAGGAAGGGCTAACCGAAGATCTCACCAAATGTCTGATGATGGGATTCTCCAGGAACATGGCCCCTTTGGGAGGTTGTAGACCAATGGGGAACTAAAAGGTTTCCCATCCTGGAGCTTCTCAGTCACCTGGCCTTAGGAAACCATAGTCTTTCCTGCCTCTTGGCTTTTGCAAGCTCTTCCACCACCTCAATCTGCACACACTTCCTATTTGAAGTCCTCACAGATTATCCAAATCAAAATCAATCCTATGTTCTGTGGGTTCACCCAGCTCTGACCCTTTTGTATTAGTTCATCATTAAAATGTGTGGCTTTTCTTTAGCCTTGAAGGAACTGAAGGATGAAGAAAGGGGCATTGGGTGTGGCACTGGGGAAATGGGATCTAGCCAGCTTCCAATCATGACCTACCCCAAGCTAGCCTCCTCTCTTCCCTGAACTTCAGTTTTCTCATTTTCCAAACGTGAATATTGGATTTGGAGACACTCTAAGAGCCCTAGGACTGTGCTGTCCACTATGGCTGCAATGTTGTAATTAAATTCAAATTAATACAAATTATAATTCAGTTCTTCAGTTGCACTAGACACATTCCACATGCTCAACAGACACGTGGCTAGTGGCTGAAGTGGGCAATGTAGATGTAGAATATTTCCATCATCACAGAAAGTTCTGTTGGACAACACTGACCCATCTACTAGGGTCCTAAGGGGTAGAATTCTGTCTCTAGCCCCTGCTGAGGGAAGCAGCTCTCAGTCCCACCCTAATTGGTGTGATGTGTAGTCCAAACCCTGGGTGAACCACTGTGAAGTGTGCAGGATAGGTCTACCCTGCTGAGGCAGTGGGGCCATGGAGAGGGTACTGAGACCCTGAAAGAGAGAGCTGTGAAGTATGGAAATAGCCAAAGTTCCAGGGAAGGTGGCTACACAGGGTATCTGCAAGTATTTGCAATCTGCTGGAAATCTGCAGGATGGGCAAGGGCTATGTGGGCAGGCAGTCAGGCAAGCAGGTGGCCAGGCCACACAGGCAAGGTCCAGGCAGGTTAGTGGCATGCAGAGGGCACTGCAGTCAGAAGGAAGGTTAGGAACACGCCTGCACTTACATGATGACGGTTTTCTTGGGGACTTTAGTCTCCTGCTCAGTGACTACAAAGAAAACAGTCAGAATAGCGAGGGTTACAAACCAGCCAGAGCTTGGGAGCTGATCTGAGTAGCATGACAGTGTAGTAACCTGCTCAGCTTAGGAGCACTGAGTCCACGCTCTGCTTGGCCATGTACTCCTGGGAAGGCCATCTCAGCTTGGAGCCCCAATTCCATCATCTTTTAAATGGAGGTGGCAATGCCTGCTTTGAATAGCTGGGGTATGAGGAGGTATGACAAAACTACATCCCACATGAAGGTAGGACCCATTGTTCATCTTGAGGGTCTTACAGGAGATGTAGGGAGTGAGGTCTCTGTCTATGCTGCCTGCACAGGAATCTCAGTTTCTCCTTCAAACCATGTGCCCAGGGAGCCCTGTGAATTTGTCAGGCCTCTGAACCCACTTCTCAGATGCAGAAAATGAAACACACCTAGAGAGGAAGAAGAAATGGCCTGTAGCTGCAGTGAGCCAGCAGCCACATTAAGACTGGGATGCCTAATGTCTGTTTTACAAAAAATCCTAAAGACCAAAAGGTGTCTCTCAAAGAGAGAAGAACTCCATAGTCTGGAAAGGGGCACACTTGGGCTCCTGTGGCATAGGTCACAGAAGCCCTACCAAGAGCCCCAGAGGATGCTTGGGCAGGGTCGTGAGCTCCGCATGAGCAGGGAAACCTAAGTCTCCCAACAGGTGTACCCCCAGTCCACAAACTCAATGGTCTCTCTTGGTTTTCCTGGCTGCCTCCCTCCCCAGAGCCTGCTTGGTGGGGCCTGTTGTTTCCATCTTGCAGATGGGGAACCTGAATTCCATGAGAGGTGGGATGGGACTCATCTGAGATCAGGCAGCACCTACTCCCAACCACCTTGAGGCCTCTTCCCCTGCAGCTTCCAGGCAAGGCCAGTCTGGGCACAAAGATGCCTCTTCCCAGCCTTGGCCAGTTGGACAGTGGGCAGTCCACATGCTACCAGTACTCCCATATCTCAACGGCTCCTCTCTCCACCCTGCAGGGAAAATTGAGGAGGAGGCCCAGAAAAGTCAACTGGCATGGCCTGGGACACACAGCCCCAAGGTGTCTGGTCTGAGGGATTTTCTGCTTTGTTACACTCCCACATAGGGAAAGGCTTTCCTTTAGATGATTGAGAATATTTTAAACATGTCTCAGATGAGGTGCAAATACAGTAAGTGTCCTAGCTGTGTCTGTATGTGCATTTGGGGGCCACGTTTACTACGCATTTGCGTACACATGTGTGTATGTGCATGCATACATATATATGACTGTGCACATGCATGTGCAGGTGTGTGCAAGCATGCACACATGCATGTGCACAGAGACACATGCATGCATGTACATGTGTGCATGCATTTGTGCAGGCTGTCCCCTGGAGGCAGGACAGCCCACAGAGAGAGAATTGGATCCAGCCAAAGACCTCTGTGTGTTTCAACTAAATTGGGCCCAGATAGAGTCAGCATGTTCACTGCCTGCAGGCCAGGCCCTGTGCACAAAGCAGCAGGAAAACCCAGATCTCCTTCCCTCATCCTCCCTGATGAGGGTCCCTCTGGCTGCTCTCAGAGGTGGTGGCCAGGGCACCTCTGGGCTGCTACACTCCTGGCACCTGTCTTCATAGACCTAAACTGCCCCCTGACCAGCTCTGGGCCCAAGTGAGTATGTGCAACTACAAAAGGGGAGCAGGTGTGCGAAGCAGGGCCCCAGGCATGGCGCAATCACAAGCAAGGGGGCCACACCCACCAGGGCCTGCTCTGGCTGCGGAGCCACCAAGTTAAAGATGAAGCAGCAGAATAGGAGTTAGGAAGCGGGGAGGTATCGGGCTCCAACTCCAGTGTCTTCGAGGTTCAGCCTTCTTGCCTCGCTGAGGGCAACACCATGTCCAGCACCAGTGGGCCCCAAAGGCCTGCTCTCCCACACTGCCACCCCCTTCTCCATACCCAGAAAGAACCCCGTCATGACAACCAAATGAATGACTGTAAAGGATGCTCTCGTCACCAACAAGAGGGAGTTCTGCATGTCCCCACTGGGCACTTCCCCAATGGTGAGACAGGAGATTGTGCAGGAAGTGGAGGTACCCATGGCAGCAGAAGCACATCTCTGTGGTGCTGTGGCCACCCCAGCTGTGGGGCTAGCAGATATCCCAGGACCCCAGGGACACTCACAGTGGAAAGGGCCCAGCCAGTGCCTGGAGCCTTCTGGGGGCTGAGAAGCAAGGACCCCTGCCCAGCGAGGAAAGGGTCTCCAAGAGGGTCATGGAAGGTATCAAAGGACCCAGATGGCCCAATTCTGTAAGGGTCTAGACAGACGACCAACCTCCAGACATCAGGCCCTGGGAGGAACTGGTTTTGGTAGCACTAAGGAAGCCTCCTTTTAGGATTTGGGAGGACATGTATTCCAACCCATCCCATAAGGGGAGCTGCAGCTCCACCAGGTGTTGGTCCAGCCTTGGCTTGCATGTCCCCAGGGACAGGAGATTTACCACCTGTCCATGGAGCCCCTCCCAGCTTCTACTGGGAAGCCCAGCACAGGCACCAGTTGCCTTCCTCCAATCCCAGCTGTTTCTGCCCCAGCCTGGCCAAGCCAGCTGGACCCTCAAGGAATGAAGTGTTGTGCCCCACTTCACCTTCTGTCCCTGGTAAGGCTTATGCTGCAGCCCAGCCCCTGCCTACAACCCAGGAGCAGCCCCAGGCCAGGAAGGCTGAGCCACAGTGTTCTGGCCTCTCTGTGACCAGCTGCACTGTGCGTGGACAGGCCAGGCCCCTGACACACACCCCCTTACATGGCGTGGACCCCTCTTCCTCATACACATCCCTTTGACAATTCCTGCCACCACCTGCATGAGGTCTCTCTCCTGGCTGGGCTGCCCCAGGGCTGGGCCTGGCTTTTCTGCAAGCTCGCTACTTCCCCACGGATGGTGAGCAGCACTTAGGGACCACCCACCCACCCAGGGTTGCCTCTCCAGCCTTCACCCGGGCTCTGGGGTCATGACTTGCCCTCGGATGGCCCAGCCGGTGCTGCATCCATTCACAGGCTGAGATCAGCACTCAGCCCATGGCTTCTCCTCTGCATCTTCCTGTCACCCAGCCACAGCCCTCCCTGCCCTGAGATGCCACCCAGGCCCCTCCTCCAGGAAGCTGGCCCTGATTGGAAGGGGTAATGGCTTCAGTCCCACCTGACTCTGCCCAGGCCTGTGAGGAGGTTCCAGGCATGAGCCACTGAGGTGGCATAGGCAGAACAGCAGGACCTACCTTCCACAGCAGCCATGAGCTGCTCCCCGTGGTGCTGGTCCCGGGCCTGCAACGCAGGGCTCTGTACGTACAACTCTGCACCGCCACGCGTGGAGCCCAGCCGGTTCACCAACTGCAAAACGATGGCAGAGGTCCGCTTATAGCCCGAGGCTCCCCAGAGAGGCTCAGCACAGCCGTGGCCTCCCTACAGGAACCCACACTCCCCTACGGCCTCCTGCAGCCAAGGGCATGCTTTCTCTGCTCTGTCCAGTGTGGCGGCCACTAGCCATATGGGGCTCTAAGAGCTTGAAATTGGGCTGTGAAGCCCAGAAACCTAATCCTTAGCTGGATTTAATTTTCCCGATTTCAATTTAAGTTTATATCACCACATGTGGCCCGTAGCAACCATATCCAACAGCTTATTTCCAGAGATAACACGGGTCCACTTACTTCCCCAGGGCTGAAATGAAGAACAGGCTCCCCCAGGCTCATGGCAGTGGCCACACAGAGGAGCCCCAGGAAGAGCTGGACACATGCCAGAGCCTGGGACTCCTGGGGCACCCACAGTCAAACACACCTACTTTGTGTCCCTGTGGGGCTGGGCGGACCTTGGAAGAGCAGAGGACTAAGACTAGGTCCCATCCTCGGGAGTCCCCAGCCCTGGACCTGTGGCCACAGTGCACAGGGACAGAGGGAGCCGTATGTCTGTAGGGCTGGGAACTTTCCACAAGCAGAAGGCACCTGTGTGGTACCAGGCAACGCTAGGGAACTAACACTGCATCTTTGCATAAATAGGTAAAATGTATGAGGACAGCAACAGGCCTCCCCAAAAGGCAAAAACCAAGTGGTACCCTTGAAATGGCGGGGACAATGGCAAGGCACACCAGGAACAGGGGGCCAGTTTGATGTGGCAGGAGCTGAGAAGCCTTGTGGCAGAAGAGGAGACAGACAGAGCAGGGGGGAGGTATGGCAGGGGACAGCAGGGGACAGCAGCCTGGTGTCCTCCAGCCCCTCGCCATGGACAGTGGGCAAGAGTGGGCTGGTGTTCCTCGGTCCCTCATCATGGACTGTGGTGACTGATAGTGGGTAGGTGTCCCCCAGACCCTCATCATGGACACTGGGTACGTTGTTCCCTGGGCCCCCAGGCAGGTCTCCCCATCCCACATCGCCACATGCCTCACCTCACACTCGTAGTGTCCCAGGTCCTCCTTGCCGGCTGCCCGGATCACCAGCACCAGAATGCCACTGCGGGGCTCACTCAACATCCGGTACTTGCTGCCAGGGGTCAACAGGGCCCTGTCCTTGTACCACCTGGAACCAGCCCAAATGGCTCGTGAGGTGGGGCTTGGGCCACAGTGCTCTGCTGGTGGCATGAGGGCATCTAGATGGCACCCTGTGCTCAGGGCCACCCCTGGGCTCTGATTCCCACGCTGAGGACCTCACTGCCCTGCCCCCTGATGCTGGTGTCCTTAGAGCACCCACACTTCCAGGAGGCGAACTCCAGCCCGGCCGCATCCTTCTGGCTGCAGGTGGGCCCCACATCCGGAATGAGTTTTGGCCCCATTATGCTCATTTTTCCACCGAAGGACATAGTGGTTGTGTGCCCAGCCCACCTCTGACCTGGGGAGCATGCTGCCCACCCCTCGCTTTACAGACGGGAGCTGTGGCCTGGGACCTGACTTCCCCTCACAACCCCACTCTTCTGCCAGCCCAAGTCCCACCTGATCTGAGGGTATGGGGTGCCTTCCATGGTGCAGGTAAACTGGGCATCCTCTCCCTCCACAAAGGGCGTGGCCCGGACCTTGTTCACAAACCGTGGAGGGACTACAGTTGTGGGGTGGGAGAGACCAAGATAGACAGAGACAGAGAGACACAGAGACAGAGAGACGCAGACACAGAGGCACAGAGACAGAGAGATATGGATAGGAGAAACAGAGAGTAGACAGAGAGACATGGAGGGACACAGAGACAAGAGATCGAGGGAGAGAGATAGAAACACAGACACAGAGAGGCAGAGAGACAGAAAGACAGAGGCAGGAGGGACAGAAATGGAGAGACAGAGATAGAGAGACAGGAATAGGAGAGATAGTAGACAGAGGAAGAGATAGAAACACAGACAGAGAGACAAAGAGACACAGAGACAGACAAAGATAGGAGAGAGAGACAAAGAGGCACAGAGACAGAGACAGAGAGATAGAGACATTCAGAAGGACACAGAGAGAGACATAAAGAGAGACAGAGACACAGAGATACCATGATGAAGCCAAGTGTAGTGTCGTGACAGAAGCTGTCGGGTCCCCACCCTCACCAGTGCCCTCCCTGGCCCTTCCATGAGCCTCCAGACCACGGTCAGATGTCCGCACCACCCTCCCGCTGGCCTTGGCAGGGTCCACTGCCGGGGGTTTGGTTAGGGTGGCCCTGTACCTGGCCAGGCTTCCCAGGCTCACCTTGCACCAGGATCTTGCCCAGGGTGCTAGCATTGCCAGCAGCACTGGCTGCAAAGCACATGTACTGGCCGGAGTCTACTCCAGTCAGATTGTCCAAGATGAGGGCACAGGAGCCATCAGGGTCTTCAATGAGGATGTGGTGAGGGTCCACCTCCACTGGCTTCCCGTCTGCAAGGAGGGGTGAGGGGTATCATGGGGATGGGGACCCTCAGGCTGACTCCATCAGGGACAAGATGCTGGGCCTGGCCTGGGGTTGCAGTCACAAGACAGGGAAGAGGGTGACCAAGGGGCAACGCCAGGAGCACAAGGGCAGGCGTGGTCTCCCTTCTGGGTCCAGCTTGTCAAGACAACTTGGAGGGAGTGAGGCCCAGATGGTCCACCCCTTCTCTCTTTGTCCGTCCGCGTCTGTCTTTCTGTCTTTCTCTATCTCTGTCTCCATCTATCTCTGTTTCTATCTCTCTGTACGTCTCTGTCACTCTGTTTTTCTTTGTCTGTCTTTCCGTTTCTGTCTCCATCTCTCATTCCGTCTTTCTCTTTGTCTCTATCTCCTTCCGTCTGTCTCTATATCTATCTCTGTCTCTGTTTCTCTATCTCCATCTCTTTCTTTGTCTCTATCTTTACCTCTATCTCTCTTTTTCTGTCTTTGTCTGTCTGTCTGTCTCTACCTTTCTCTTTATCTCTATCTTTGTCTTTGTTTTCTGTCTCTATCTCTGTCTCTATCTGTCTCTACCTCTGTCTTTGTCTGTCTGTCTGTCTCTGTCTCCATCTTTCTCTGTCTCTGTATCTTTATTTTCCTCTTCCTCTTCCTCTGTCTCTGTCTCTCTGTGTGCAGCTCAGACAGTAGCTAGAGGCAGGGACCAGGTTGGGGAACCTGAACCATTCAGAGGACATCCGTGTGGGCANCCTTCTGGGTCCAGCTTGTCAAGACAACTTGGAGGGAGTGAGGCCCAGATGGTCCACCCCTCCTCTCTTTGTCCGTCTGCGTCTGTCTTTCTGTCTTTCTCTATCTCTGTCTCCATCTATCTCTGTTTCTATCTCTCTGTATGTCTCTGTCACTCTGTTTTTCTCTTTGTCTGTCTTTCCGTTTCTGTCTCCATCTCTCATTCCGTCTTTCTCTTTGTCTCTATCTCCTTCCGTCTGTCTCTATATCTATCTCTGTCTCTGTTTCTCTATCTCCATCTCTTTCTTTGTCTCTATCTTTACCTCTATCTCTCTTTTTCTGTCTTTGTCTGTCTGTCTTTGTCTGTCTGTCTCTACCTTTCTCTTTATCTCTATCTTTGTCTTTGTTTTCTGTCTCTATCTGTCTCTATCTGTCTCTACCTCTGTCTTTGTCTGTCTGTCTGTCTCTGTCTCCATCTTTCTCTGTCTCTTTATTTTCCTCTTCATCTTCCTCTGTCTCTGTCTCTCTGTGTGCAGCTCAGACACTAGCTAGAGGCAGGGACCAGGTTGGGGAACCTGAACCATTCAGAGGACATCCGTGTGGGCAGCCAGATCCTTGGTCACCCCCACCCATCTAACGATCCTGCAGCTGCCCTGGGGACCTCCAAGGCACTGTCCATACCCAGCTCACTGCCCTTTGGCCCTATCCTCCCCATTCCCTCCCCAGCCTCAAACCTGCAGCCCCTTCTCAAAATCACTGCCTAACACCCCCTCCTTTTCTCTCCTCCATACCTGGCCTCAGCATGCTGCCAGCCAGGCCCTGCAGCTCAGTGTGGTGGCCAGAAACTTTCCCTATCCACCCCAGCCCCGTGCCCTGGCCTGTCCTTAGGTCCTCCCTCATGCACCTCTCTTCCACTCGGCAGATATTGTGGCTTCCTGTGACATGAAAAGGCAAACATTGCACCCCTCCCATCTAAGGAGACCCTCCAGTGGGGCGAAGTGCCCGTCTCATCCCGTTCCATCCCATCCTGCAGGCAGACACTCTTGAGCTGCCACTTTCCCCAGCAGCACACCAACCC